TTGAAATCATCAAGTCATTCCCATGACCTGTCCTTCTTCTAAATTATCAAGTCATTCCCATGACCTATCCTTTTCTGAATTCATCAAATCATTCTCATTGACCTGTCCTTCTTCTTGACCTGTCCTTTTAGACCCGTCACTTTTGTAATTATCATACCTTTCTCTTTCAAGACCTGTCTTTCTCTGGATTGCCAAGCATTTCTTTTTCAAGACCTGTCCTGTCCTTCTTTGAAATTGTCAAGCCATTCCCATGACCTTTCCATGGAGACCTGCCCATTTCTTGGATTCACCGTCTTCATACCAGACCTGGCACTTTTGGATTTGTAGATCACGCTGCATGACCTGTCCGTTTGGATTTGTGGGAGTCCAAACGTTGAGCCTGGCCTTTTGGGTTTTGGAATTTCCCCCCAAAACCTCTCATCTTCCACATTCAAAATTCAAATTCCCCCCCTTTAATCATTACCTTTTCCACGTGTCAGGCTCTCCTTTCCCCACCTGTCGCCTCGAGCTCCGCCCCTCTTCTCCTATAAATACTCCCTCAACCCACTTCATTCCTTTACTTCTCTCCTTCGTTCCTCAAGTTTTAACCGGTCTACTTTCTCTCTCTAGCCTTCTGCCAAGTAAGTCCTCCAGTCCTCCTAGTCTTTTAATTCTTCCATCTTTCACTTTTTGACCGGTAGGCTGAAGTCATGTCTTCCTCTGACTCACAAAATGTATCCGGTCAATCTTATGGATCGGGTTCTCAACCCTCTTTCTCATCTGAGTCTTCTTCTCCCCCTGTCACTCCTTTGATTCGCCGCCCCTCTCACCAATCTAATTCTCAAGCCCGGGAAATAATTGCCCAGGACCCTGTCCCTTTGAATCAACTGCCCGGTCGATTCAATCCCAAGGTCCTTAGCTGGGAGCAATGGGAGGAACGACTGGGATCCTTGGGCTTCCTAGCCCTTGATGTAAGACCGGTATTCAAAGAGTCCTCTAGGGTCACCAAAAAGGTTCTGGCCGAGGTCCGTACCATCCTCCCACCGGGCTACAAAGTCATTTCCACAACCACCTGGCCCAACGTCATTGAACCCCACCAGGGAACCCGGTTGGGTTTCCATATTGCGTCTATGGAGGGAGGTATTATTTCTCCTCTTCGCCCCCTCCTTATTGAAATTTGTAAAAAGTTTCATATTTTGCCCGGCCAGCTTACTCCAAATGCTCACCGGTTCTTGAATTGTTTTGTAAATATCTGTGAAAATTTGAAAATCAACCCTTCCCTTGAGCTTTTCCTCCACATGTACGAAGTCTTGCCCAGGACTAGTAACTGCCCGGGCTTCGTCTATTTCCATTCTCGTAATAAGAGATCTTTTGTGACCGGTCTTCCTCCTAGTCACAAAAGATGGAAGAAAAGATTTGTTTTTGTTGAATTCCCCCTGATCAATTTCCTCTCTCAAACCCTGAGTGGGCTGACCGGGTTATAAAACCTGAAAGGGTTCAACCGGAGCCTACCCCTGAGCTTGAAGATGCCTGCGAGAAACTTCTCAAGGGTGATCCTGTGACCGGTAAGCCATACGCCTATGGTGGATGGGTATACCGGTTACCTAACCCGGATGGGGGTGAATCTGCGACCCATGACGCAGAAGATGTAACACCCTAATCCGTCCAGGTTTACAACCCCTTCCGAACTAAAGTATTAACTTGGTAATCGTATAATTTAAAACATTTCAAATAACTTTATTCATCACAAATGAAATTCCAAACATAATTGTAGTAAATACGGAGTGTTTAATGCGGAAGCGATTTTTAAACATGATTCATAATAACATAATCATTTATTTTCTCAATAAATCCACCACGACTGTCTCGCCCCTTCCGCTGCCAAGAATGTGCCATTCACTCATTCTGTCTACCTGCGTGTAGCAAATAAAACATACTACACGCTCAGCGATGAAGCTGAGTAAGCATATCTAAAGCGTCGAACATCCAAATAAATTGAATCTCAATTCATAATCAACCATTTGATATCATGCACACAATATATGATTCAAACATTCATGATATTCTCAATATTTTATTCCAAGTCATT